AGTAGGACAAACCGACAGACAAGTTTGTCCTGCTGTTGGAGACCTCTTGTATCTCCCCCACCTGGGTCCCTGTGGCTGACTGTTCCTCTTTCTGGCTTCCTGGCTTTTAATCCCCTTTCTCCTGCTCTTCTGGCTTGCTTCTTTGGGCGTCCCTGAGTTGTCTCTCCTCACTTGTATCCCTGGGACTGACTGCTCTTCTGTCCGGGTTCAAGGCTTTTATCCCCTTTCTCCTGTTCTTCCAGCCTGCTACTCTGGGTGGGCCTGAGTTTCCTTTCCTCACCTAATCCCTTTGTCTGATTGCTCTTCTCTCTGACTTCCTGGCTTTTATCCCCTTTCTCCTGCTCTTCAGGCCTGCTACTCTGGGTGTCCCTGAGTTGTCTCTCCTCACCTGTAACCCTGGGGCTGACTGCACTGCTGTCCGGGTTCAAGGCTTTTGTCCCTTTTCTCCTGTTCTTCCGGCCTGCTACTCTGGGCGGGCCTGAGTTTCCCCTCCTCACCTAATCCCTTCACCTGATTGCTCTGCTCTCTGGCTTCCTGGCTTTTATCTCCTTTCTCCTGCTCTTCCGGCCTGCTACTCTGGGCGTCCCTGCGTTGTTTCTCCTCGCCTGTAAGCTTGGGGCTGACTGGGCCCCGTAAATATTATAGCCTAGAAAACAGTAGGAGGCAGTTCTGCTCTGTCATATGCAGTTGCTATGAGTTGAAATCAACTCGGTGGCACATAACAACAACATGGTTCATCTGGAGTCCTTGAGTGATGCAGATGATGAACATGCTAACCAAAAGGCAGGAGGTTCGAGTCCATGCAGATGTGTCAGAAGAAAGGCCTGACTATCTACATCTGAAAGATCTTTCTCCTTGAAAACCCTCTGAAGCATGTTTTACTGACACACATGGGGTTACTATGAGTTGTGGTCAACTCAGTGGCTGATGGAAGGGTTCATCTGGATGTTGGCTGATCCAGGTTAGACTTGGCTGAACTTGGCTCTAAGTTGCAAGGTGGGGCCAGGTAGGTTTCATGTGCTGCCCATCATCCTAAAACCAGTGGCTCACCAAGTATCATCACCTTAAGCTGATAAAGCACAATGCCTTTGCTCATATCATGCCTCCTAACTTTCCATCAGCCAAATAAAGTCACACAGCCAAGCCCAGCATCACTAGAGTGAGGATATATACTCTGCCTCTGGAAGGAATGGCAACATCACATGACAGTGGATGTGGGGATGTATGAAAAGATACAAAATTGAAACCAATCATATGATCAATCACATTAAAAATTAAAAAAGAAAAAAACTATTGCTGTTGAGTTAATCCCCACTCACGGCAACCCTATCTGAGAGCACTGTGGGGCATTTCTCCCCTGTCCTATAGTGTAGCTAAGCATGGGAATATACTGCACCACCAGGGTTCACAATAGTATATACCATAAGAGTATTCTATGGTATTCTATATTATACTAATACATACATATATATTAGTATAAAGGCACTGCCATCGAGTTGTATCCAACTCATAGCGACCCCTCCTTGGGTTTCCGAGGCCATATCACTATGGAAGTACATTGTCCAACCTTCCTTCCACGGAGTGGCTAGTGGGTTGGAACCGCCAGCCTTCTGGTTTGCAGTTAAATGCCTTAGGCACTATGCCACCAGAGCTCCCATATTAGTGTAGTATATAGAAGGAAGGTTGGGCAATCCTACTTTCGTAGTGATACTGCCTCAGAAACCCAAGGAGGGGTCGCTATGAGTCGGGGCCGACTCGACAACACATAGCAACAACAACATAGTATAATATATATAATTATTATGATATAGAATCGCATGGAATACTATTATGCTCTATACTATTGTGAACTCTGGTCGTGCATGGTTAAAGGATTTGGCTACTAACGAAGTAATCGGCAGTTCGAACCCACCAGCTGCTCTGCAGGAGATAGGTGAGGCAATCTGCTTCTCTAAAGAACCTTATGGGGCAGCTCTACTCTGTCCTGTAGGGGCACTATGAGTGGGAATATAATATATAAGACAATCTAATACTGTTATGCATTCTATACTATAATACTATGATAATGTAATATAGACACTAAAACTTGTAAGAGCTGGAACCTGTGTAAAGTGGAAACCTGTCAAAGAAAGAAATCTCAATTTTCCTCGAATAGAAAAGTGGTAAGTACACCCTGTCAAAGGCAGAAAGCTTGCCGGATCCAGAAAAACAAGGCGTTCCCGTTGAGTTCCGGCTCTCACAGTTTCCACTCTATAGGAGAGGGAGGAGCGGGGAGCGAGAGTGAGGAACAGAGGGAGAATCTTTTGAGACAAGCACACTAGTTGACTTGGTATTCTAAAGAATTTTTAATCGCTCATAAACTTAAAAACCACTGTGTCCTCATCAAGTGATTGTTTTGATTCCAAGGAACAGACTGCAACTCACATTATTTAAATGCAAAGCAGGAAGAGATGTTGTTAATTAGAAGGGAAAATAAATATTTCCCCAGAGATTCAAGGCCTGGAAACACCGTCTGAAGTAGCAGGGATGTGCTGAGATACTGGTATCAAAGAAAGGGGCCTGGATGCTCGGAGATGAGGGCTGAGGGGAGCAGATGCTCTCTGTGCCTACTCCCCGTCTCCTGTCTTGTCATATGCATTGCCTTCACTTGGGGATGAAACTGTCATCCACCTGACCAAAATGTAATCAGGAAAGTCCATGAGTTTGTCTAATAGCATATCAGGTTTCTCCCCGAAATAGAAAGAAGAAACTTTGAAGTTGTGGCTCCAGGGCCAAGTCTAACTGACCCAACATCATCAACCAAGGTTTATGAAAACAGTGAGACCCGCTCGTGTGCATATCACTTGCAGCTGCTTTTGCCCTGCGGTGGTACATTGACTGCAACAGAGACCATATGGCCTGCAAAGCTGAACTTGTTTGATATCTGATCCTTTACACAAAGTCTGCCCACCCTTGTACAGAAAAGCAGAGCCCTGGTTGTGCAGTTGTTAACAGAAAGGTCGGTGGTTCAAACCCACCAGCCGTTCCATGGGAGAGAAATGTGGCAGTCCACTTTGCTTCCTTAAAGATTACAAAAAAAAAAAAAACTCACTGCCATTGAATTTTTTCTGACCCATAGCGACCTCCATTGGGTTTCTGAGGCTGCAAATCTTTACAGAAGTAGACGGTCCGTCTACTTCTGCAGAGCGGCTGGTGGGTTTGAACCACTCATCTTCCAGTTAGCAGTCAAGTGCATTATCCACTACACCACCTTGGAAACCCTCTGGGGAAGTTCCACTCCATCCTCTAGGGGCGCTGTGAGTCAGAATCCATTCCCCAGCAGTGGTTTTGTTTTTCGTTTTGTTTCTGTAATGATTGACAGCCTTGGTAACCTTCTGGGGCAGTTCCACTCCATCCTCTAGGGGTGCTGTGCGTTGGAATCCACTAGACTGCAGTGGGTGCGGCTTTTGGTTTGTTGTAAATAAAGAAGTTCCTGGTGGTGCTCCATGGCAGTGGTTGCATTTGGTGGTGCAAACAGCTAAGTGCTGGGCTACTAACTGAATGGCTATTGGCTCAAATCCACAGAGGCACCGCCAAAAAAAGTCCTGGCAATCTGCTTCCAAAAGTTCACAGCGGTGAAACCCTGTGGAAGGCAGTTCTCCACTACACATGGGGTCACCATGAGTGCCAGTCAACTTGATGGCACTGGGTTTGGGTTTTTGGAAGTTTGATGTGGATAACTGAGGACTTAGAGAATGGGTAAAAATGTGCATTGGGCTTCTGCCTCTGGTGATGTGTTCGGGAAAACATATTCTGAACGTCTTCTATGCGAAACCCAAGCCTCTGACAAGGCCTGTGTTAACCCTTGTTTTCTGTCCTTTGCCAGACTCCGACCTGAGCATGCGCACATTGAGCACGCCCAGCCCAGCCCTGATATGTCCGCCGAATCTGCCCGGATTTCAGAATGGAAGGGGCTCGTCCACCTCCTCGTCCTCCATCACTGGGGAGACGGTGGCCATGGTCCACTCCCCGCCCCCAACCCGCCTCACCCACCCGCTCATCCGGCTCGCCTCGCGGCCGCAGAAGGACCAAGCCAGCATAGACCGGCTTCCGGACCACTCCATGGTTCACGTCTTCTCCTTCCTGCCCACCAACCAGCTGTGCCGCTGTGCCCGCGTGTGCCGTCGCTGGTACAACCTGGCCTGGGACCCCCGGCTCTGGAGGACTATCCGCCTGACGGGCGAGACGATCCACGTGGACCGCGCCCTCAAGGTGCTGACCCGCAGGCTCTGCCAGGACACCCCCAATGTCTGTCTCATGCTGGAAACGGTGACTGTCAGTGGCTGCAGGCGGCTCACAGACCGAGGGCTTTACACCATCGCCCAGTGTTGCCCCGAACTGAGGCGACTGGAAGTCTCAGGCTGTTACAATATCTCCAACGAGGCTGTCTTTGACGTGGTGTCACTCTGCCCCAACCTGGAGCACCTGGATGTATCAGGTAATTGACACTGGTACTCAGCAGTAGGGCCTTCCCAATGTGGCACCCCAGAGTGGTAGATGGGGTGGCCAACACTTAGAGTCCCCTTCATGCACAGCTGTTAGAGGTGGGTGTAGATGCAGGCCGTCTTCCAGAGAGACAGCCTCTACGCAGTCATGGCATTGGAGGCCAGCGGTATCTTTTCATCAAATAACATCAACTTCCTAGGGAAATTATGGCCACCTTTTGCTTTCTAAATGTGTGTTTCCTCTCCAATAGCCCTGGTAACACAATGGTTAAGCTCTGGCTGCTAACAGAAAGATTAGCATCCTACCCAACAAATCTGCAGGAGAAAACTTGGCTGTCTGCTCCCCTAAATAACAGCCTAGAACACCCCATGGTGCACTTCTACTCTGTCACTGCAGTCACTAAGAGTCAGAATTGAGTCTGAGGCACCCAACATTTCCTCTTCCACAGTCTTCACAGATATTTCAGAGCAACCATATAAGTCACAGGAACCAAATAGCTAATCACAGATAGCTGGATCCAAACCTCTAAGTCACACCCAGTTTGCAAGCTGTCCTTGTGCCAGTTCACTGTTGTCCCACACAGCCTGCGAGCTATGTCTGACTATAACCACTACCCTGTGTGTCCTGTGCTGGCGGCCTCAGTGTGCCCACGTGGATAATAAAACATAAGACATGGGCTGTGACATTTTGGGGGAAGGGGGTGGAGGCATTATTTCATTTGGCCTTTGTGTGTGTTTGTGCCATTTTCTGTTGGGCCTCTTGTTAGCGCTAATGAAATCCAACATGGCGAAATGTCTCCTTACGTTTCACCCTGCCCTCCCCACCCCTGGGTTAACATTGCATCTTTTCTTAAGCGTAGTTTGCAGTTATGCAGTGCAAGGGGATAGGCCCATGGAGTCCAACCATATCCTCTTAAAAATCTAAGGATATCTCAGCACAGCGGCTCTGCTTGCAAACCTCACTGAGGCCAGAAGAGTTAAAGTGCAGACTCACACTTTGGCGCCAGACAGGGATCTGTCCGGACTAACAGCCTTTCTTTATCTCATGCACTACGCAGTCAAAGGATGAACATTCGAGAGGCTGAACTGTGTAAGATGCATCAGGGAGCGAAAGAAACGGACAGCGTGCATGCAGCCTCGGGTTGTTGGGGAGGGTTCGAGTAGTAAGAACCAGTGTGACAGGCGAATAAACAGAATTTGGGATTTACAAGCATCTAAGGTGAATGATCCCTTCCAACAAAATCTGAGGTAAAACCCATGCACTCAGCTTGTTCTCGCTGTCAAAAGCCAACGTCTGCAAACATTTCAGATAACAGTCCATCCTTTTTGGTTGATTCTTTTCTTTGCTTGGAAAGTTACTCCTTGCTGCCTTCACTCAGATGGCTTCCTGACAAAACTAGAGTCACCGTATGTTCAGTTAGTCCTGAGCAGCTGTTGGCATAAATAAGCAGGAAATGAGGTTTGCCTAGATTTTTTTCCTCCAAGGAATTCTGGATCGAGACATCATTGGGAAGTGGTAGAAACTAGTTCCAAAACTCTGTGATTGGGGAAAATTCACAGCTTTACTAGGTGTTTCCTCTCAGGCAGAAAGAAAAAATAATAATAATAAGGGACTGTGTTCTTTAACATTCTAAGATTGTGAGTGTCACTGGTCTGTTTTATAAATACTTCATTTTGTTTTCCTTTCTCGGATCTAGAAAATGATTTATTCTGGAATCCGACCCCCACCCCACCCCACCCCCCATCTTTGCTTTCCATGTACTCTTATTATAGACTGCTCAGAAGCTGGGCTCTATCTTTTGGGGTCTTTTTGAATTTTAGTAATACAAATACTCCATTGGCTGTCCCCCGCCCCCCCCAAAAAAAACCCACTGCCATCTAGTCAACTCTGACTCATAGCAACTCCCCCCCCCATTGGGATTCGCAGACTTCAAATCTTTACAGAAGTAGATTGCTTCAGCTTCCTCCCATGGAGCAGCTGGTTGGTTTGAACTGCTTCTGGTCTGCAACCAAATGCCTTACCTACTGCACCATCAGAGCTCCTTATTGGCTCTCTGGGTATGGAAATTCTTGGGCTCCTATCCAGGGTGAGGGGATCCCGCTTGGCCCCTGAACTGTTATTTAAGCCTTCAAGACCTTCCTCTGTGTCAACCTGACACATTTCCACGTTCAAATATATTAGTGCTGCTTCCTCATATGGCCAAGGATTCCTGTAATCTAATGCACAGAGACACAGGGGAGCTCACCAAGTAAAAGCACTGTACCCCAGACACTGGAGGGATTTTCAGCTACATGGACTTTGAAAGACCCAACAAAACATTACATGAATAAATGAATAAGGAAGAAAGGAAGGGAAGTCACCATTGCATCGATTCCAACTCCTGGTGGCCCCACATGTGTCACGGCAGAACTGTACTCCGTAGTGTTCTCAGTGGCTAATTTCTCAGCAGTAGATGGACATGACTTTCATTTGAGGTACCTTTCACTTAGCAACTCAGCATGTTAACCATTTATTTGCACCCTTCAGGGGACTCCCAACAGGACAGGAGGGTAGATTGATTCTCACCACTTCTACAAAGTGCCCACCAGTTTCTAGAAAAAAAAATGGAAGTTGTTATGTTGATAGAGAGAGAGACCAGAATGCTACCAGAGTGATACCACCTATGCCTTGTTCACCTTGGTTTTTACAGGTGGCCATTAATAGTGATCATTTTCTCAATGACAATATAAGCCTGATTTGGAAATTGCACCTAGGGTTTGATTCCCCTGGACGACTTGCCACCTCCTGGCCCTTGAATCTCCATCCACCCCAATGATGTAGAAAACTATCCATCTTGAAAGCTGTCTTGGCAAGACATCGGAAGTCACTGTAATTAGGAGTCAAGTTTTATCATCATCACATATTATCATTTACTAATTGTATATTTAAACATTAATAGAATATATGGAATGCAGCCATTTTCAAAATGTAAAATGTTTGTTGTTCCAAGCAAATTGCAAATGAAAATTGCTTCTAAGGTAGTTCTTACCTCTCTTCCTGTACCAGACCTGCCCAGTGAATCTACTCCATCAGCAGCCTGAGTCCATCCCTCTTGTCCACCTCCCTGGCTGCATCCCTACCTGCACTAACCAATCTCCTTCTAATTGTACCCTTACACCTGCCCTCTACACAACCTCCCAGGAATATTCTCCAACTACTGACCTGACCATTCACTTTCCTGCGTAAGATGTCCAGTGGATCCCCAGCACCTCCAGGAAAATTCAAGGTCCTCAACAGAGCATAAGTTCCTTCATGAGGTGCCCCTTCCCAGGTTCAAATCTCCCCCTATCTTGTGACACATATTCATTGTCCTGCTCTCACATGCATATGAGGCTACTAAAAATACCAAGGCTTGGGTCAGGCACACCCTAGTCTTCAAAGTGACATCGTTGCCCTTTAACCCTTTAAATAGGTCTTTTGCAGCACATTTTCCCAGCACAGTATGCCATCTGATTTGTTTAATGCTACTTCTATGGACATTGATTGAGGATGCAAGTAAGATGAAATCCTTGCTGATTTCAATCTTTTCTCCCTTTATGATGATATTGCTTATTGGTCCAGTTGTGAGGATTTTTGTTTGTTTTATGAAGAGGTGTAATCCACACCGAAGTGCTTCAAGTCCTCTTTGTCTTCAGCATGCAAGGTTGTGTCATCTGCGTATCTCCAGCTGTTAATACGTCTTCCTCCAATCCCGATGCTGCATCCTTCTTCATTATAGTCTGGCTTCTCAGATTATTTGCTCAGCATAGACTGAATTAGTATGATGAAAGGAAACAACCCTGATGAACACCTTTCCTGATTTAAAACCATGCAGTATCCCCTTGTTCTGTTTGAACCACTACCTCTTGCTCTATGTACAGGTTCCTCATGAACACAGTTAAGTATTCTGGAATACCCATTCTTTGCAACATTATCCATAATTTGTTATGATCCACACTGTTGAATGCCTTTACGTGGTCAGTAAAAACACAGATAAACACCTTTCTGGTATTCTTTGCTTTCAGCCAAGATCTAGCTGACATCAGCAATGATATTCCTCATTCTACACCTTCTTCTGAATCCAGTTTGAATTTCTGGAATTTCCCTGTCAATATACTGATGCAACCACTTCTGAATTATCTTCAGCAAAAATTTACATGTGTGTGATATTAATGATATTGTTCAGTGATTTCCACATTCTGTTGGATCAGCTTTCTGTGGACTTGGCACAAATACGGATATTTTCCTGTTAATGGGCCAGGTGGCTGTCTTCCAAATTTCTTGGCATAAACCAATGAGTGCCTCCAGTGCTGCAGTTCAAACACCTCAGTGGATATTCTGTCAATTCCTGGATCCTCCTTTTCACCAATCCCTTCAGTGCAGCTTGGACTTCTTCCTTCAATACCATCTGTTTTTCATCATATGCTACCTCCTGAAATGGTTGAACATTGACCAGTTCTTTTTGGTACAGTGTCTCTGTGTAATCCTTCCATCATCTTTTGATACTCCTGCATCATTCAATATTTAGCTTATGGAATCCTTCAGTACTGCAACTCGAGGCCTGAATTTTTTCCTCTATTTTTTCAGCTTGAGAAATGCTGACCATGGCCTTCCATTTTGGTTCTCTAACTCCAGGTCTGTGTGCATTTCATTATAATACTTCACTTTGTCTTCTTGAGCCACCCTTTGAAATCTTCTGCTCAACTCTTTCTCTTCAGCATTTCTTCTATTTCCTTCATTCAAGAGCAAGTTTCAGGGTCTCTTCTGACATCCATTTTGATCTTTTCTTTCTTTCCCATGTTTTTAATGACTTTTGCTTTCTTCCTGTATGATATCCTTGATGTCATCCCACAATTTGAGTCTTTGGTCATTAGTGTTCAATGCATTAAATGTATTCTTCAGATGATCTCTAAATTCAAGTGGAATTTACTCAAGGTCATATTTTAGCTTTTGTGGACTAGTTTTAGTTTTCCT